AAAAAAAAAACAGAACAAACTAATATTATGATGGACAAAAACCATCAGAACTAACAAGCCATCACTGAGGATAGCCACACTCAAGTCAACCTGTTGGCTACGCCTGACATTCAGTCATGCATCACAAAGAACGAAGAATGCAGTAAGTAACATATGCAGCCAGGAGTTCATGATCTGACTTAACTTGGACTTAATACCAGTCATATGAAACTAAGAAAATTCCACCAGTTTAAATACCGATGATATTTATCATCTTATGTTTTCCGTCTCGCTCTTAATGTAAAATTATAAATATTGAAAAGTTTGACTCAGGCAGTTCTCTACAAAATACATCTACCACAGCAAAATCCTAACTTTCAGCTTAGTTCCTTTATATTAGTTCCATTAATTATTAGAAACAACTTCTATGGTAGACTGCCAAGTATTACCTCTCATGTTAAATCAGAAGGTCAGAGGGGAATATTATTATAAGACCTATTAATTGACTAAAATAATGTAATGAGGTCTATGCACTAAAGTCTGGTGTGATGAAACTGATCCTTATCTTCATACCATCCTCACAGAAGTCTTATAGTTACAGTCCTATTCCAGTATACCTTGGAAACATTATGTAGACAACTTCTCCATATCTTTTCCAAGATAATTCAGTGATGTTTCTTAGTGGAACATATGATATTTCACTCTTTGAATGTATGAAATGGAATCATGGACTTACATTCTGTAATTTTCAGGACTCTTTTTACTTCTTTCCTTCCTGATCCTCCACAACCATCTTCATCATCACAATCTCCATTGATTTGTTCTTCCACACTTCCACCACTGCCTGTTTGCCATAGATCCCAGTTATCATATTTGCAAAATGATTTGCCCCGCAACAGCTGAAGACTAGACATGGCATGCAAGTTAGTAGTACAGATGAAGAACTTCGAAGAACATCCAAAATTTCTTATCTCTCTAACTAATATTGTATTGATTTTAAAAGAAAAATCCAGAGTCCACAGAAAGATAATTCTGACCTTTTCCCCCTCTGGTTTACAGTCACATTTAAAGATGCTCATTCTTCATTTTTTATTTAAAAACATATGCAATGTTTCTATTTGTACTTCTGTACTGATAAATAAGAGATTGGTCATTAAACCCTAGCCCAGAGGCAAGCCACTTGTCCCTCACACTTTCAGACTGGAATTTTTTTGAGGAGAGAGACAGAATCCATGCTACACAGCAACTGGCCCTGCATCTATTCCAGACCCATGTGGTGACTTAAGATACAATTATTATCTTTTCCGTTTTTTCAGTTCAAAATATCTGGACTAATAGAAGAGCTGTGCTTCATATATTGCTGTATATCTGTTACATACAAAACATCCAGGTTGTATGTATTCAGTGTGTTACATAGGAATCTGGTATAAACTGAATGAAATAGAAGTGCTGGGACAATATCAAATATTTGACCAGGGAACAGCAGACCAAGCCAGTACCACTGGGAAACATTGTTGTCCTGGAGATAACTGTTTCCCAGATCACATTTAGGCATCTTTTTAGTAGAGCTAACAAGGGTGACCCAAAATAAATCAAACAGATAGCTGACACTGTGTTGGGCAGTGCAAATACTTTGGATCCAGTAGACAAACTTGTTCTTATGTTCCTTCTTATTTTTTAGTATAAGCATGGTCAATGATGGTCTACAATACAGGAGGTCAGAAGCATAGATTTCAAAGTTTGCCTTACTTCTTCTTTCTGTTAAGCAGAACTGAGCAATAATTTGAATAATATTCACTTGCTTTCCATTATCAAATGTACAAATGCCACACAGATTTTTAAATATTAAGCATACATACTGTCTTACTTATTCCCCATCCAGATTCAGTTCACTTTACATGTCAGATACAAATAAATATTGTGATGTCTTTCTAAATCGGTTCTTGTGAGTGATCATAACTGTATCTAGTCAAAATTGAGCTAGTGCAGTCTCATGCACTGCACTTTCTTTCAGGAAGACTGATTTGTGCTAGACATTTGGTCTAGACATGCTGGCTCAGATTTTTTAATGTGATCACCACATTTTGTCCTAAAAGTAGCTAACTAACTATTAGGAAATATGATACACACTTGTTTTAGATGTTCAAATATTTGATTGTTTTATTGTTCGAGTAAGACTTGTGCTTTTGAAGAGCATATTTTACTTATGCAGAGAGTAATTTCCCAGACTACTTAATCTGTTAAGTGATATATAAAGACCAGGAAAAATATTTTAGACATTTCTAACACATCACACAGATACATATCAGTAGCTCTACAAAAGCTACTTACAACACAATATATGAACAGTGAAGAATGCCATTCACCACTGAAACAGCAGAACTAATTTATGCAGCACCTCTGATTCAGAAGTTTTATTAGGTATTGTTATACGTTACTTTCAGGACATATCTGAGAGGAAATGCTGCTTTGTATAACTGCCTTACTCTCTGTTCACTACGTAATTTGTGAAAAATTTCTGCCAAAATAGTAGATATGGAGACAAAACACAGTCAGTTCAATTAACTACACCAAGTATCATAGAATCATAGAATCACAGAATCATAGAATGGCTTGGATTGGAAGGGAACACAAGGATCATCAAGTTCAGGGGGGGGGGGGGGGGGGGGGGGCCACAGGCATGGCCACCAACCTCCAGATCTGGTCCTAGACCTGATTGCTCAGGGCTCCATCCAACCTGGTCTTGAACACCTCCAGGGGTGGAGTATCCACAACTCTCTGAACAGCCTATTCCAGCACCTCACCACTCTCTCTGAAAATTTCTCCCTGACATTCAATCTAAACCTTCCCTCCTTGAGCTTAAAACCATTCCCCCTTGTCTAATCACTGCCTACCCTTCTAAAAAGTTAATTCCCCTCCTTCTTAGAATCACCTTTAAAATACTGGAACGCAGCAATGAGGCCTCTCTCCAACAGTTTCATGTCTTTCCTGTACTGGGGGCCCCTGACCTTTGGCCATCTGAGATGCAAGAGCACACTTCTGGCTCATGTTCGGTTTTACATCCGCAAGGGCCCCCAGGTCTTTCTCTTCAGGGCTACTCTCAAGGAGTTCTTCTTTCAGACTGTATATATATCTGGGATTACTCTGACCCAATTGGAAACCTTGTACTTCTCTATGTTGAAACCCATGAGGTTCACATGAGCCCACCTTTTGAGTTTGTCAAGGTCCTTCTGGATGGTTTCCCTTCCTTCTAATCCATCAACAGCGCTACTCTCCTTGTCCTCAGTGACCACATTCCCTGCTGCATCAAGTATAGGATGAGAATTATCTTTGGTTCTTCTTTTGCCATTGATATATTTATAAAAGGATCTTTTATTGTCTTTTACTGCAGTGGCCAAATGGAGTTCAAGTTGGGCTTTTGCCTTCCTAACTTCCTCCCTGCACACCTTAGCTACTTCTTTGTAATCTCCCCAGGTAGCCTGTCCCTTCTTCCAGAGGATGTAGACTCTCTTTTTCTCTCCCTGAGTCTCAACAGTAATTCTGGCTATGTATATGTTTGCTTTCTTTTTTTTTTTTTTTTTTTTTTTCCAGTCTGAGAACATCCTTCTTTACATTCTGCATCCGTATCTCAAGAAAGTATTTCCTAAATAAGGTCATTACATTTCACTTCTCTAAACTGCAGCCCATACAGTAACATTCTTATTCCTCTTTTTTTATTATTATTATTTTTTTTATTATTATTTTCCACTCGTGCATTATTCGCTTACAATTAGAAATATGAAAATCCAGAAACTCCCACTAAATTGTTTGAAATGTAGGTTCAATGTATTAAAAATGTTCCAATTTTTAAAAACTTTTCACTGTACTTAAACAAGTAGGGACTAAAAGTGAACAAGCTAGTTTTTAATTTGGGTTTTGTTATGCTCTTCTGTATTCTTAATTGTACAAGAAGGAATATTCTCTCCGTATAAATTTACAAATCCCAGTGGTGGTTCTCTACCTAGCATGGCTTAGTTCTAATATAAATTCTTTATTAGCTTTATACAGTTCACATACTCCTTCAAAGCTAGCTTGACTCAGATTAGAAATGAAGTTAAAAGCCAGTTATAATGCCTTTGTTGTGTGACAAAGCTTATAAATCTACTGTTTGGGAGGAAAAGAAACACAGGTTACAAGTAGAGATTTTGTGTTGCATATACTTACTAGATCATCCAGCTGCATAAAGATGAAGTTTACTGGTTACATACTGCTAGCCCTATTAAGTGAAAACTAATACAATGTTCTTCCCTCTGTATTGCGGATTAAAATTATCTCTTTCCTTTGGGTGTCTAAGAGGGTTTTCTGTTCTATCAAATGTCTGTCACAGCCTAATTTGGGTTTGATCATCTGTCATTGTCTTTCAATTGCAATGAAAATATCAGCAACATTTGTTTGACTGATCATGGCAAAGGAAGTGTTGCCACTGTTCTGAGATTACAGTAGATACAATGTTACTCCAGGCCATATTTGCTGGATCTTTTCCTTAGTTTTGGTTAAAGTTTGTTGAGCTAAGATTTTGACATCAAAAGCATGTCTTCTTCTTGTGACATTTATTTTCACAGAGAATTTTCATTTTCTTACTGCTATTGTATGTATGCACAAAGGAATTATTTTGTCCTTGGGAAGATCCACCTCCAGTCTTGTTACTATATACTGTGAATTTGGGCCTAATAATTAGATCTTTAACAGCCCAGTTGCTTAAAGCCCCTATGGATTTTCACTGATCATCTAGTGAAATGCTTTCTTTGACACAAACAGCAATTCTGGAAAAAAATTTAATACCATACATCAGCATTAATAGGTTTTGTGAAATTTCATCTTTTAGAAAAAAAATAAGAGTTTGCTTGAGAAGTTACATTGTTGTAATAAAGTACATATGGTTTTCTGTAAATATACGACTTGGCACTGTAAAACGTTACAGTAAGAAGAAAAAAAAAAAAAAAAAAAAAAAAAAAACAGCTGTAAAAGCATATATAGAGGTCTCTGAAGCTTCCATACAAAACTCAAGTGTAAGTCTAACTAGAAAAATTGTCACTAAGAGTGCATGGTTCTTGTATAATTCTATAGGGAGTGAAAAATTTTCCAGGTTACTTAGCATTTTCTTCAATGATATTTCTGGAAAGCCATATAAAGCACAATCAGAGCAGATAACTCTTCTACAAAAAAAACAAACACAACGTAACTAAGTGACAAAGAGAAGCAACAAACTGTCTTATAAGGTACCTCAGCTGGTAAGCCAGGCAATAAAATGAATTTTTAAACATATGCTATAATAAAATACAGACGGAAGTAAATTTGCAAGTCTAAATATTGTATTACAAGCATATTAGAAGATAAAATATTCTGCTTTGTAAAATAATTGTGGGTGTCCTGGATAGCCACCAGGCTATGAATTATCAAGACTAGTGTTCTAGATTATGTTTTAATGGGATATATTTGAAGACAGAAATAGGAATACTAGTCAGATTAGGTATTTTATATTACTCCCAAATCCAGTTCTTGTTTCCACTGTTCAGGGAAGATGCTATAGAATTGAATTCTAGCGGATAACTTAATAGCAAATGAATCAATGACTTTGATTTATGCATTCAAATCTAATCAAATAAATCTACATTATTTACATCATACATTAAAAATAAACCAAGTAAGGACTGTTCTATATAAAATATATATATATATATATAAACATGTCATCAGGTTCTTCAAAAAAATTTACATACACAGATACATCACAGATAGACCTTTTCGCCTTAAATCAGAGATTAATTCACAAGTTTAAGGCTAGAAGCCAATCTAGGTAACAGAAATGGTCCATTCTGACTCTCAAAAACATATGAATCCATCCAAGTAAATCTGGTTT